TGCCTCAGCCTCAGCCTCAGCCTCAGCCTGCAGCCTCAGCCTCAGCCTCAGCCTTCAGCTGCCTTCAGCCTCGGCCTCAGCCTCAGCCTGCCTCAGCCTCAGCCTGCATCAGCCTCAGCCTCAGCCTCAGCCTGCCTCAGCAGCCTCAGCCTCAGCCTCAGCCTCAGCCTCAGCCTGCTTCAGCCTCAGCCTCAGTCTGCCTTCAGCCTCGGCCTCAGCCTCAGCCTGCCTCAGCCTCAGCCTGCATCAGCCTCAGCCTCAGCCTCAGCCTGCCTCAGCATCAGCCTGCCTCAGCCTCAGCCTCAGCCTGCCTCAGCCTCAGCCTCAGCCTGCTTCAGCCTCAGCCTCAGTCTGCCTTCAGCCTCGGCCTCAGCCTCAGCCTGCCTCAGCCTCAGCCTGCATCAGCCTCAGCCTCAGCCTCAGCCTGCCTCAGCATCAGCCTGCCTCAGCCTCAGCCTCAGCCTGCCTCAGCCTCAGCCTCAGCCTGCTTCAGCCTCAGCCTCAGCCTCGGCCTCAGCCTCAGCCTGCCTCAGCCTCAGCCTGCATCAGCCTCAGCCTCAGCCTCAGCCTGCCTCAGCCTCAGCCTCAGCCTCAGCCTCAGCCTGCCTCAGCCTCAGCCTCAGCCTGCTTCAGCCTCAGCCTCAGTCTGCCTTCAGCCTCGGCCTCAGCCTCAGCCTGCCTCAGCCTCAGCCTGCATCAGCCTCAGCCTCAGCCTCAGCCTGCCTCAGCATCAGCCTGCAGCCTCAGCCTGCCTCAGCCTCAGCCTCAGCCTGCCTCAGCTCAGCCTGCCTCAGCCTCAGCCTCAGCCTGCCTCAGCCTCAGCCTCAGCCTGCTTCAGCCTCAGCCTCAGTCTGCCTTCAGCCTCGGTCTCAGCCTCAGCCTGCCTCAGCCTCAGCATCAGCCTGCCTCAGCATTCAAAATGTGGCCGGGAAATGGAGTTCTGGGAACTCGAAGAACGCGAAGTGGCCTACAGTTGGCTCCGGGCATTCAAAATCATGCCCAGGAATGGAGTTCTGGGAACTCGAAGACCGCGAAGTGGCCTACAGTTGGCTCGGGGCATTCAAAATCATGCCCAGGAATGGAGTTCTGGGAACTCGAAGAGCACGAAGTGGCCTACAGTTGGCTCCGGGCATTCAAAATGTGGCCTGGGAATGGAGTTCTGGGAACTCGAAGACCACGAAGTGGCCTACAGTTGGCTCCGGGCATTCAAAATGTGTCCCGGGAATGGAGTTCTGGGACCTCGAAGACCACGAAGTGTGTAACTGTTGGCTAAAACAAATCCCCGGCATCTCCCCGGATCGCGCCCAGACCCCCCTGGGGCGTCATGATGCTCTCTTTTGACCCTACTAGAAACCTATCAGTCTTCGCTGTTAGGTAAAAATTGTCTTACGGGAATGGGACGATGGTTGCCTCTTGGAGCTCTGTTGGGAAGGCCCTTGGGGGCCTCTTGGGGCGTTCTGGCGGCCTCTTGAGCTGTCAGGGGGCCATTTGGAGCGTTTTGGACCGATCGCTTAGCGACTCGGGGTCCTCTTGGACCATCTGACAGGCCTCTTGGAACCCCCTTGGCCCGTTCTGGGGCCCTCTTGGGGCACTGTGGGGCCGTCTCCTCCTGAATCGCGCCAGAACCAGCCCCCCCGTGGGCCCGACATGAATCCGATCTGTTTTCTGTGCACATAAATACTCCTTGGAATGGTACGGCGACATTGTTTTTTCTCTCCCTCCCGCCGTCGGTTCTTGTTACTACCCTCCTCTGGTCACGTTTCTCTGTCTGGTCCCGCTCTAACGTGGACGGGAGGCGGGAGAGCTTGCCGAGGCTGCTGGACACCGGTTGGAAGAACAGTTGATGGAGTAGGGTGGGAGGCTGGTCGAGGGGCCAGGAGCTCTCTTATTATTTTCCTGGTGCAATGCCTCCTTTGGCCAAACCCTATCCTTGGCCTACTGACAGTTGCCCTGGGCCTGGCCCATCTCCCTCTGCAGCCTCAAGATGGCCACCACTTAGAGCGGCAGGCGGCGGTGGCCCTCTGTACAACCTGCAGCAGTCAGGCAACACGCTTCCCCTCTGCACAATCACCGTACCGCTAGGAACGCCGGAAAGGGAACGACTGGGCTTTTCTGGCCACGCCGAATCTCCGCCACGCCGAACCTCCCCAACATGGGCGTGCGGAAGGGCGCGAACACCAGAGCCCCTCCTGAACTCGAAGGGGTCCTCGCCTCAGCATCGTGGTTGCACACAGGATTTTGTTTTTTTGTTGGTCTGCGGGTCGAGAGCGAGCCTCTTCCGGTTAAAAGCTAGGCAGGCTACGCAAAGCTCTAATTGGATCTTGGCTGCACACAGGAAGAGGAGCGAATGTCGCCTGGCGGACGCGCTCGTCCGAGGCTAGCGGCGGAGCGGCCCCGCGCGTCGATGGGACAGCCAGGCGGTCTCATCGAGCGGCGGGCAGCGGCCACAGCGACCTTGTCGGCCCTGGCTCGTGGCGTAGCTGCCCAAGGAATGTCGACGTGCGGCAGGTCATGCTTGGAGCGCAGCTGGTTGCCCACCCCCAAAAGGTCACCGTCACCGGCGACCGTCGCCGGCGGTGCATCTCGTTGTCACACCACCTCCCTGCCCTGAGAAGGCGCAAGGAATACAGTGGGGACCCATGCCAAGAAACACCCTGCTTCCCTCCAGGGTACCATGGGTTTCTTGGGTTTCGATGGTTTTGCTATGGAAAGCGTGACGTTGCCACGCCGAAAATCAGTGGACGCCCTGGGGTCTCAGGGTTGGGTTTCTTGCCTCCACTGTAGGAACGCATCTCCCCACACACTTCTCCTCCAGTTCCTTCTCCCCTAAAGCTCGCTGGCATTGCAGCCGCGCGCCGCCCAACGAGCTGGGGTGCGGCACAGACCCGTCAGTGGCAAGCCGATCAGGCTGCAGGCTGAGCGATGTCGCCGCACATCGCCGCCAGCTTCATCTGGTAAGGAATCATCCAGGGTCTGAAGCCTCCAGGGCACACTCCTTGACGAAAGCCCCCGCCGTATGGGCAGGAACCACCCGCCTGAGCACTCGCCAACACGTCGAGCCTGCTCAGCACTGTCGTGGCCATGGCCGCGCACATGCCAGAGAGACTCAACACTGCTGTACTTTGACGTGCTGTGTTCGTCCACTGTCTTGTGCTGTACAGTACTGCGGTGTTGTACGTTTCGGTGCTGCTAAGACTGGGCACCACACCATCATCTTGATAGACTTACGATGCCGTCGTCCCCTGAACTGGGCATCGTCTGCTGGGTACTTCAATGGTGTTCCGCATCCGTGCTGTGCTGCTGATGTTTTGCCAATTTCGCGCTCTACGTCTTCATTGTGGCTGGTGAGGCTCTGGTGCACGCTCGCTTGTATCACACTTATTGGTCATGGGCAACGGGCAGAGCTGCTGTACCGCACACGCGATCGCGGGCAGGTCGCTGCTTGCGTACACACTGGCACTGCTCGGTTTAGTTGCATTGTCGGCGACAGGACTTCCATCCTTAGTGCGGAAACTAGGTTATGAGCTCCGCTTGGAATTCCATCCTAAATGATGTTGGGTTGGCTGCAATCTGGTTCAGCATCGTGTCCTCGCGGAAAACTTCGATAAACCGCCCAGGCACGTCGGAGGTGAAGAGTTTGCCCAGGCGGAATGAACTCCTCCAAAGCCTCTTGGTCTGATAGTGAACACCGACCTCTGATACGGAGAGGGCATCGGATAAGGAACCCCGGGATAAGAAATCCAAGGTCTGAACGCCGGTGGAGCGACAGTTGAGGCTTGACCATGGATATCATCGCCGCCCTCATTAGATAAGGATTCCTTCAAGGTCTGACGCCTCCTGGGCACATTCCTTAACCAACGCCCCCGCCGTAGCGAACCACCACCGCGGCGACCTCTTGTTGATAGTCTCCTGTCGAGTGCTGCACGGGACGTGGGCACGGGAGCCGATGCGAGACAGTGCAAAATGCGAAGCGAGCCCTAAGACGTTCGCCCCTGGCTGGTGCTCCTAGTGAGCGTTTTCTTATTCGGAGTTTCGGCAGTGGGCGTCAGGGGAGGGAGGGGGTGGGTCTGGCTCCGGACCTCTGCTTACTGCAACTGTTTGCAGCAGTGCGTCCTAGGGGGGAGAGACTCCACCTGCTTGAAACCGGCTCCAAAAACAACCAAGATCTATTCCATGGGCGGGGGGGAGGGGGGGGTGCGAGGGCCCGCGCTGACCGGCAAAACAATGAATAAGAAAACGATCACCTAATGGCACAGGTGCTTCAACAGCATACGCATTGCGATGTGACCAAGGCGGCGGCCCCGAGGGAGCGGCACCCCCTGCCAGCATGGGTCGCCTCGCCACAGCTCCCTCGCTGCCGCGCCGCGCTCGCCGCCTGGTGTGCTTGCCTCGCCCTCGCTGTGGGCCGCACGCGTTTCCCGTCCGTTGCCCCGCGCGTCCCGCTGCAGCCCAACACCTACGATGTTGCAGTCATTGTGCCTCATTGCTACGCTGCGCCGTTGCCTCGATGTGTTTCTCACTCACGAGATCGATGCACAAGTGGCTCCACGACGTGAGATTGAACACCGCCGGGCAAGCCAGGAAGGTCACACGATACGTTGACGAGAGCGCAGGCGCCACTGGAGGAAGGAGAAAAAGCGGAGAAGAAGACGGCGCCGTTGCATCGATGTGTGCTGCGCACATTGCCGAGCCTGTTGCCTTGAGAGCCTCGTTGCTTCGTCGTCTGGATGTCTTCTCATGCGCTGCGCGCGGTGTTGCCTTGCAAGTCCATCAGTTGCTGTACTCGTTGTCGGGCTCCTTGCCAGATTCCCTCGTTGTCTTGTTTTGAGTCGCGCTCGTTGTCAGATTCGTTACCACATTGCCTCCCGATTGTGCATTGCACCCGCTGCCCGATTTTCACGCTTCTCTCGGGGAGCCTGCTTGGAGTACGCCTGTCGGTGTGAGTGCTTGCCCTAGGCATATCGAAGCTATGCGTGAATGAGCTGTCATGCGTGCAGGAGCCTCCCTGTATTCGAAGAGTGGGGCAGAGCGGCGCGGGCGGGAAACCCATCCATGCTCCACGGCGCCCTGGTCTGGACTCCCGGGCTGCGGAACCCCATGGATGCGGGGCGGCCCTGCGCGGACGCGCATCCATGGGATCGCGCTGCAGTGCCCAGACCGAGAGGAGGAGGAGGAGGAGGAGGAGGAGGAGGAGGAGGAGGAGAAGGAGGAGAAGGAGGAGGAGGAGGAGGAGGAGAAGGAGGAGGAGGAGGAGGAGGAGGGGGAGGAGGAGGAGGAGGAGGGGGAGGAGGAGGAGGGCACGGATACGGACGCGGCCGCCGCTCGTGAGAGCGGGCACCGCTCGTGAAAGCGAGCGTCCGGCGCCGCGCCAGAGAGAGAGAGGCCGGAGGCAGGGCCAGCCCCGAGCCTCGGGCGCGGGCCGGGTCACCGGCGCGGCAGCAGCGCGTGCCCGCCGATGTGCAGCTGGTACTGCTGCGGCGCCTGCTGCTGCATGTGCGACGGGGGCGACAGCAAGACCGGCTGGTGGCGCGGCTGCGGCGGCTGCGGCGGCTGCGGCGGCTGCGACCTCCACGGCGCTGGGGCCGCGGCGTGCTGCTGGGGCTGCTGCCGCTGCTGCTGCCCCTGCGCCTGCTGCACCAGCTGCACGATCGCCTGGGGGCACAGCTCAGACCATGCCCAGCGGAGCGCCCTCACAGCCGGCGGGTGAGAGGTTTGGGTGTTGCCAGAGGTGTCCCCAGCCCAGGGTGGCCCCAGCTTTTGTGCGGGGAGGCCGGGATGGCCTCCAGGGTATGCCTCGCGAGGCCCACAAGGCCCCGCGGGCTCCAGAACGGCGCGAAAAACGGCGGCTGGCAGTCCCGGGGAGGACGCGGGCAGGGAATGGGGAGAGCGGGGGGAGGGGGGGCAGGGCGAGGGGAGGGGTGGCAGGACCCTCTGCGCATGCGATTACAACAAGATGTTAATTCATTGCTTTTGCGTGCGATCATCCTGTGGCGACCTTATTTAGTAGCTCCTGGGGTGACGGCCTGACAAGAGGGCTCCATCTTAAGGCAGCATTCCGAAACGATTTACTTCGGTGGAGCCTCGGCCAAGGGTAAAGCAGAAGTAAGTACCGAGCGACAGGATTGCCTTGGTGGGGATGGGGGCTGTCCGCGGCGAGGCAAAGACCTGGCCCTGAATCGAAAGGGAGGAAGTCTCGAGCAGGGCCGCTGTTGTTGCTGGGAGCGACGCCAATGCTGAAGAGAGTCGGGCGCTAGTCCAGCGTAAAACAAAACAAAATCTCGAGCGGGAACGCTGGTTTTGTTGAGACGGCGGCTGCCGGCGGCGACGAGAAACACCGCCTCGAGTAAGAAGGGAGGAAGTCTCGAGCGAGAGCGCTGGGGTTGTCGGGACGGGGGCTGTCGATGGCGAGGAACATCACCGTCCTGGGGGGAAAAAGAGGATGCCTCGAGCGGGAGCGTTGTTCTTGCTGGGAGCGGCGCCAGTTCAAAAGAGAGTAAGGCGCCAGCAGCCGAAACGGAAGGAAGTATCGGGCGGGAGCGCTGGCTTTGCCGGGTCGGCGATTTTCGGCGGCGAGGAGGAGCACCGCCTTGAGTAAAAAAAGGGGAAAGTCTCGAGGGTGAGCGTTGTTGTTGTTGGGGGGCCCGAAGTGGCTCCCCAAACCGCTCGAGCGCGAGCCTCAATTGCAATGACAACGCAGCCAGCGCCGAGGCGAGAGTGCCAAAGCGCCTGGGGGGGCCCAGCGATGAGAATTGTTTGGTAATGAACCTTCAACAGCAACAGCAACACCAACATCAACTACAACAACAACAAACAGTTTAACATTGTTCGCTCCTGTCTGCTCACGTGCCAATCAATACGTCTATCCCAAGCCCTCGGCACCCGCCATCGTCGTCTTCGATCGTACCCCCATTTGGGGTATGTCTTCCTTATCTGCCACGCGCATGTAGTGCAGCCCCTAAAACAAGGGAAGAGAGGACGGGTGAAGGGGGAGGGAGAAGAATGGAGCACGAGAGAAATTACCGGGAGGGGGCAAAGAGCAGAAAAAAAGTGGTAGAACCAGACGGGCAGATCGGGTGGGCAGACCCGTAGCGGGCAAATCGGGAAGGCGGGCCCCCGCGACCAGGTCGAGCAGGCGGGTTGCTGAAGCGTGGGCCCTGCATGAATCGCGAGGAAGTCTCGAGCGATAGCGCGATTCCCAAGTAAATCATGAGAACCAAGGGCGCATCGTCTGAATAAATCGCGGGGAAGTCCCACGCGAGAGCGCGATGCGTACATGAATTGTGAGGAAGACCCGCGTGAGAGCGCGATTTGGTAATTCCTTGTACGGAAATATCAAGCGGGAGCCGCTGTTGTTGAAAACCGGGAGTCAACAACACAGTTTAAGCCCCGCGATTTTCCCTCATGAAAAAATAGTGCGAGCCCCGGGAGAAGCACTTCAATTGAAAAACACACTGGTCACCGGAAAGGGGGGATCAACAATAACTGTTCTTCAGTAGTGCGAGTTCAACAACAACAACAACAACAACAACAACAACAACAACAACAACAATTACTAGCACGTGGGGACACTCCGTTCTCACCAGTGCCAGGGTTTTCATAGGAGGCGGGCAATACCCCCACTTTGTGGGGGGGCCGGTTCAAGCTCTACCAAATTTCCAAACGACTCTTCGCCACCACCCACACCCAGCTTCCCGCCCTATGACGTTCGGACACTTCACTTCGTGGCATGCGGACGACCGTGGCTACTATTCAGGGCCCCGCGGCCGACGACGACGGCGTGCGCGCGCGAAGAAAAAACGAATGTGTCCCGCATGGTATTATTTGACAGGGATGATGGCCCTGGCAGGTGCGCAACCGTTGTTGCAGAAGTTCGAAAAAGTTGCTCGCAAAAGCCCGTTTGACAGAAATGTTTAAAAAGTGTTGGGTTTCCTACGAATCCGCAAGAGCGCGCGGGATGAAATTTTGACATTTTTTTTTGAAAAACCATTGGTTTTTTGATGTTTTTATGTTAAAATCGCTACGAAAACTAAGGTTTTGGAAGGATTTCGTCTTGCGCGCGCGAATGTCCACTTTACCTTATTTTTTGCAAGGGATTCTTGAAGTTTGGTTATGTTAGAACAAGAAATGTCCACTTTAGCTTATTTTTTGCAAGGGAAAACGGGGGGGAACAAAACAACCGGATCTGGTACACATCGTTTTGCCTGAGACTTCCTCACGAAAATTATGAAAACGTGGCTGCGGCCTAGGCGCGGCGGGGGGGCCATGCACCAGGGGCCCCAACAATAATTATTCTTTAGAAGAATAATGTTCAACAACAACAACAACAACAACAACAACAACAACAACAACAACAACAACAACAACAACAATAATAATTGTAAGACTCTTCGCCGATATCTGCTCGAGTGTCCAATAACGCCTATTTCCCAAACCCTCGATACCCGCCTTCTTCGTCTTCGATCGAACAACTTTGGGGAATATACCTTTCTTCCCTGCAGGCCGGGCCCCGGCAAGCGGCGGGGCGGCCGCGAACCGTCGGCCTGGCCAGCGGCAGCGCTGATCGGCAGGGCGGCCGCGGACCGTCGACCCGACCCCAAGAGGGACGGACAGGGGACCGACCACGACGACGACGACGACGACGTCGACAACGACGGCGACGACGACGACGACGGCGACGACGAGCGAAAGCGAGAGCGAGAGAGAACGACAGCAGGGCCACGAAGGACACGAAACAGGCCACGAAGGGCGACAGCGGGGACACGAAGGGAATGCGTATGGGGCCACGAAGAGCGCGAACGAGCGGGGGCCACGAAGGGCAGATAATGCGGGGCCACAGAAGGCAACGATGGGGCCACTGAGGGTAGCAACTAGGCCACGTATGACAGTAAGGGGGCCACTAACGGCAACAACGGGGCCACGAAGGGCATGCACATGGGACCACAACGGGCGCGACTCCTGGGCGCCTGGGTGTCGGGAGCGCGGCGTTTGAGCAAATTGCAAAAAGAAATCCAGCGCAAGGGCGCTATTCTTCAGTAAATTGCAAGCAAATCTCCAGCGGGAGCGCGACTCCAGAGCGCCGGGAGAACGATTCTTAAATAAATCGTAAGGAAATCCCAAGCGAGAGCGCGATTCCTGAATAAAATGCGCGGACGTCTCGGGCGGGAGCGGGGGTCCTGGCTGAATTGTAAAGAACTATCAAACGGGAGCCGTTGTTGTTATAACCCTGGGGCCAGGTGCACAGTTTGAGCATCAAGACTTTCCCTGCCAAAAAACAGGGTGCGAGCGTCGACCGGCTGACTTTGACTCAGAAAAAACCGTATGCACCGGCGGGGGGATCAACAATAGTTATTCTTCAAAAGCGAGAGTTCAACAACAAGAACAACAACAACAACAACAACAACAACAATCATTTTACCCGAACGCTCAGTGTTCTCCCCAGTGCCAGGGTTTTCATGCGACGCCAGCCAATACCCCCACTTCGTGGGGGGGCAATGCAAGCTCTACCAAACATCCACACGACTCTCGGGAACCACCCACACCCAGCTTCCCGCCCTATGACGTCAGGACACTTCACTTCGTGGCGCGCGGACGATCGTGGATACTACACTGGCGTGGAGTACACACCCGCAGAGGTTGATCACTTGTTTGGGCCCCGCATGTGCCCCGCATGGTGCATTTGTTGCGTATGACATACATAGTACAGAGAGACAGAGAGAGAGAGAGAGAGAGCAAGACAGAGAGCCAGTGGAGAGAGAGATAGAAAGAGATTCGTCACATGTGTGAGGCAACCTGAGAAGATGTGGTACACGGTACACGTGAGATGGTACGCAGTGCCAAGATAGTTGGTCACATTTTTGAGGCAAATTCCTGGGAAGGCGATTACACAAGTAGATGTGTTACGTATGATAGATATGAAGCAGTTGAAATTATTGAAATCACATTATGTTTGGCAGGATTTCGGCACGCGCGCGCGGCGGCCGCGCGCATGTGCACTTCGTGTCATTTTTTGCAAGGGATGGTGGCCCTCGTAGGCTCGCAACCGTTGTTGCAGAAGGTCGAAGCACCTGAAAAGGTTCCTCGCAAAGGCCCTTTTAACAGAAATGTTTAAAATCTGGTGGGTTTCCTAGGAATCCGCAAGAGCGCGCGGAAGGACATTTTGACAATTTTTTCTGAGAAAACCATTGGGTTTTTGATGTTTTTATGTTAAAATCGCTACGAAACCTAAGGTTTTGGAAGGATTTCGTCTTGCGCGCACGAATGTCCACTTTACCTTATTTTTTGCAAGGGATTCTTGCAATTTGATCAAGTAAAAACAAGAATTTTCATTTTCTATTGTTTTTTGCAAGGGAAAACGAGCGTCAACAAAAAACCGGATCCGGAGCTCATCCACTTTTCTGAAGCTTTCGCGAAAAAATGATGAAAATGTAGCTGCGGCCTAGGCGCGGCGCAGAGGTCGGGCACCAGGGGTCCCAACAATAATAATTCTTTAGAAGGAATAATGTTCAACAACAACAACAACAACGCAAAGACACTCTCTCAGGCCACCCCGGCGGGGCCCGTGGGTGTGTCCTCGCCCCCGGGGCGAGCGCACTGCCCCAGGCCACACGTTGCAGTTGTTGCCCCGGGGGGGGGGGGGGCAACGCGCAACACCT